TCAAGGGCTCCTCCAGCCTCAGTCTCCCAAGTAGCTGTGACTACAGGCATATGCCACCACATTGGCTAATTATTTATTTTTTGGTAGAGACAGGGCCTTGCTATGTTGCCCAGGATGAAATCAAACTCCCAGCCTCAAGCAATCCTCCTGCCTCAGTCTCCCAAAGTGCTGGGATTACAGGCATGAGCCACTGCATGCAACCTAGTACCAAGAATAGAATAGGAGGAAACACTTCTCAACTAATTCTATGAAGCCAGTATTATCTTGATACAAAATCAAAGATATCATAAGAGACTACAGAACAATATCTGTTGTTAGACACACACCCTCAACAAAATATTAGTCAATCAAATACAGCAATATATAAAAAGAATTATACACTATGATCAAGTAGAATTTATCCCAGCATTGCAAAGTTGGTATGACATTTGAAATTCAATTAATGTAATACACCAAATCAATAGAAAAGACAAAACCCACCCACAGATCATCTCAGTAGATACATAAAAGCATCTGATATTCAAAACTCTCATACAATAAAGAACATTCAACAAACTAAGACCACAAGGAAACCTTCTTAATCTGATAAAGGGAATCTGTGAAAAACATACGCCTGGCATCATACGTCATGGTAAATAACTGGATGCTTTCCATAAATCAGGAATAAAAAGAGTGGTTCTTGTCACTTCTGTTTGACACTGTACTAGATGTTCTAGCCAGGGAAATTAGGCAAGAATAAAAAAGAAATAAAAGTCACATAGATCAGAAATGAAGAAATAAAACTACCTCATTTAATAGATTACATGATCCTGTATAGAAAATTCTAAAGAATCCACTAAAAAAAAATTTAAACTAATAAATGAGTTCGTGCCAGAAGAGGGAGGAGGGAGGGAAACATAACATCATAAGGATACCTGATCTCAAACCAGGGGAAGCAGAGACCAAAGGGAGGCCCAAACTTTACCTGCACGATGACCACTTGTACAACTAAGCATGAATTGTGTCCCACATTTTTTAAATAAAAATAAAATAAAATAAAAAACTATCCAGCAAGGTTACAGGATACAAGGTCAACATACAAAAATAAGTTTTTTTATGTGGGGTTTCATTTTGGAATGGTGAAAATTTTCTGAAATTGTGGGAAAAATGCACAATTCTATAAATACACAAAAAGCAGTTGTATACTTTAAATGGGTGAATTGTATAGTATATATCCTTAATAAAGCTGTTAAAAAAGAAACACTATTAGCATAAAAACTGGTAAAATGAGAAAACAGCCTGGAGTTTAGTTAATAATAATTATCCAGGTTGGCTTCTTAGTTTTGCACCATGATGATGTAAGATGCTAATGTTAGGAGAAATTAGGTAATGAGTATATAGAAACTCTCTGATTTATCTATGCAACTTTTCTGCAAATGTAAAATTATTCAAAAATTAAAACTTTATTTTAAAAAATGGCCTGTAATCCCAGCACTTTGGGAGGCCAAGGCAGGAGAAGCCCAGGAGTTCGAGAACCAGCCTGGGCAACATAGTGAGACCTTGGCTCTACAAAAAAATTTTAAAAATTAGCTAGGACTGGTGGTACATGCCTATAGTCCCATCTCCTCGGGAGGCTAAGGTAGAAGAATCACCCAAGCCCAGTAGGTTGAGGCTTCAATAAGCCATGATCACGTCACTACACTCCAGCCTGAATTACAAAGTGTAACTCTGACTCAAAAAAACCAAATAAATAAACATTTAAAATGGGGCTAATAGACTAAAAAGGATGGTATCTTAGTCCTTTGTGCTGCTATAACAGAATGCCTGAGACTGGGTAATTTATAATAAACACAAATTTATTGGCTCACGGTTCTAGAATCTGGGACATCCAAGATCTAGGGGCTGGCATCTGGTAAGGGCCTTTCTGCTTTGTCATCTCATGGCAGGAGGAAAAGAGAGAACAAGAGGAGGTTGAACTTGCCCTTTTATAATGGCAGCAATCATACCCATGACGGTGAGGCCCACATGGGCTACTTGCCTCTTAATACTGTTACGTGGCAATGGCAATTAAATTTCAACATGAGATCTGGATGGGACAAACATTCAAACCACAGCAGATAAAGATGGGTAGGTTAAGCAAACAGTAAAATATTATTGGGGTGGTAAATACAATTCAAAAGGTAACTTACAAAGTTTATTAAAAATAAACAATTAAAGCCGGGCTCGGTGGCTCAGCCTATAATCCTGCACCTTTGGGAGGCTGAGGTGAGTGGACTGCCTGAGCCCGCGGGTTTGAGACCCACCTGGCAGCGAGATCTCATCTCTACAATAAATCAAAAAATCAGCGGGCGTGGTAGCGCATGTCTGTAATTCCAGCTACTTGGAAGGCTGAGGCGGAAGGATCGCCGGAGCCCAGCAGGTCGAGGCTGCGGTGGCCGGGAGCGGCCAGTGCACTCCAGTCTGGGCGACAGAGTGAGACTCCAACTCAAAAACAAATAAAAAAAATAAAAAATAAACATTTAAAAATAATAGATTAATTCAAAAGAAAGTAAGAAAGGATGAATAAAGAAACAACAGATTGAAAAAATAGAAAACTAAAGGATAACACACTTATGGCCAACTATCTTAGTACTTACTTTAAACGGAAATGGTATGAACATACCAACGGAAAGACAAACAGTCAAACTGGATAAAAAAGCAAGACTCAACTCATGTCTTTTTTACAAGAGATAGACCTTAGATATAAGGACACAAAGAGCTTGAAAGTAGAAATATAGACAAGGACATGTCTTGCAAATATTAACCAAAAGGAACTAGTGTCATTAGAAATAGAATTTCATAATAGTAGGAGTAAATTAAACAGAAAAAATCAAAATCCTAAATTTTTAATTGACTAGTAACATAACATCAAAATATATATGGCAAAAATTGACAGATCTAAAAGGAAAGGTAGACAAATCCATAGTCATAATGGAAGATTTTAATATACGTCTTCAGTTACTGACAGTACAAAAAGACAAAAAAAAAAAAAATCACGGATATAGACAATTTAAACATGATTAACCAACTTGATCTAACTGAATATACAGAACACTACACCAAATAACAGTTTAAGAATACACATTCAGCTGGGCTCAGTGGCTCAGCCTATAATCCCACGCTTTGGGAGGTTGAGGTGAGTGGATTGCCGAGCCCGTGGGTTCGAGACCCACCTGGGCAACTTGGCGAGACCTCATCTCTACAATAAATCAAAAAAATTAGCCGGGCGTGGTAGCGTGCGCCGGTAGTTCCAGCTGCTAGGAAGGCTGAGGCGGAAGGATCGCCGGAGCCCAGCAGGTCGAGGCTGTGGTGGCCGGGAGCGGCCACTGAACTCCAGTCTGGGTGACAGAGTGAGACTCCAACTAAAAAAAAAAAAGAATACACATTCTTGGCCAGGCTCAGTGGCTCAGCCTGTAATCCCACGCTTTGGGAAGCCGAGGTGAGTGGATTGCCTGAGCCCGTGGGTTCATGACCCACCTGGGCAACTTGGCAAGACCTCATCTCTATAATAAATAAAGAAATTAACCGGGCGTGGTAGCGCGTGCCTGTAGTTCCAGCTACTTGGAAGGCTGAGGTGGAAGGATTGCCGGAGCCCAGCAGGTCGAGGCTGCAGTGGCCGGGAGTGGCCACCGCACTCCAGTCTGGGCGTCAGAGTGAGACTCCAACTCAAAAAAAAAAGAAAAAGAATACACATTCTTTCAGGTGTACAAAGTTATTTTCATCAGGAGAGGACAGATCTGGGCCAGAAAGCAAGTCTCAACAAGTTTCAAATAAGTAAAATCACACAGTATGTTATTATGGGATTAAATTAAGACCACGGTGGTATTAATTAGAACTCAATAACAGAAAGATAATCAGAAAAATCTCTAATTTTTTTAAAAATTAGCAGCACACTTTTAAAGAGCCCATGGATAAAAGTATACCTAGAAAACATTTTGAGCCAAATGATAAAAATACTATGTCAAAGCATGTGAAATGCAGTTAAGGCAGTGTTTAGAGGGAAATTAAACACATATATTAAAAAAGAAAGATTTAAGTAGGGCTCAGTGGCTCAGCCTGTAATCCCATGCTTTGGGAGGCTGAGGTGAGTGGATTGCCTGAGCCCACAGGTTCGAGACCCGCCTGGGCAACTTGGCAAGACCTCATCTCTACAATAAATCAAAAAATTAGCTGGGCGTGGTAGCGTGCTCGCCTGTAGTTCCAGCTACTTGGAAGGCTGAGGCGGAAGGATCGCCGGAACCCAGCAGGTCGAGGCTGCAGTGGCCAGGAGCGGCCACTGCACTCCAGTCTGGGTGACAGAGTAAGACTCCAACTCAAAAAAAAAAAAAAAGAATGATTTAAAATTAATCATCTAAGCTTCCAACTCAATAAGCTAGAAAAAGAGAAACAGCAAACCAAACCTAAAGAAAACAGACAAAAACAATATAGAGTAGAAATCTATGATACAAAGCAGATGCATAATAAACAAAATTATCTTTTTCCTCTTCCTTATGTATGGCAGGGAAAATGAACAGAAATGAATGATGTAGTTATACATGTCCACATGGATAAATCTCAAACTCATAGTGTAAGCAAAAAAAGCAAATCACCAAGAACACATGGCATGATTCAACTTATTGAAAGTTCAAAATGAGGGTGCTTTAAACAACATATTGTTTGGGTACATAAGTAATAAAACTTCCCAGGAAGGCAAGAGAAATGCAGTAGGAGAGAGACACAGGGTCCATAGGGGTGTGTGTGGGAGCATAGGTTCCCTGCAGCTCTGTTAACCCTTACACAGTGCTTCCATGTCACACTTCTAGATGTACAACACATGTCGTAACAGTAACAGCACTGGAAAGCTATATTATCTAGAATAGGAGAAAAAGTTTTAAAGATATTTAGTGTACCTTCCTGTGCCAAGCCTGACATTTTCATTACAGGGTCTGGCAAACTTTAAAATACAGTGTTATAAAATCAGCTTGCATTGTTTTAGCACTTACCCAGCTCCACAGGTAACATTTTGATAGGATTTCTTTCTAAAAGCAAAGTTTTCAAATGCCTTCAAAACAAAACAAAACAAAACATTTTATAAAAACATAATTAAATGACCACCCCCAAAATAGACCATCATATTTCCTCATTTTTCATCTCTTTTAGGGGCAACTTCAATACAAACACACATAAATGTACAACATGAACACGTGTAGACTCTTGCCATTAGCAAATACTGCTGTCGGTGTGAAGATCCAGGTGAGGATCTCTCAGCCTTGGCACTACTGACATCTGGGACCAGGCAATTCTTGGTTGTTCGGGCTGCCCCATGCATTGCAGTATTCTAAAGCTTCTCCAACCTTTCTCCATTAAATGCCAGTGGTAACACCAACCCCCTAGTTGTGAGAACCATAAATGTCTCCAGAGTTGCCAGTGGTCTCCTGGGTACAAACTGCCCTAAGGCCGAGCTCGGTGGCTCAACCTGTAATCCCAGCACTTTGGGAGGCCGAGGCGCGTGGATTGCCTGAGCCCGCAGGTTTGAGACCAGCCCGGGAAACTTGGCGAGACCTCGTCTCTACAATAAAATAAAAAATTAGCCAGGCGTGGTAGCGTATGCCTGTCGTTTTGGCTACTTGGAAGGTTGAGGTGGAAGCGTTGCCAGAGCCTAGCAGGTCGATGCTGGGGTGGCCGTGAGTGTGCCACTGTACTCCAACCTGGGCGACAGAGTGAGACTCTAACTCCAAACACAACACGACACAACAAAACAAAACTGCCCTAGGCAAAGAACCCCTGCTTCCATATCTTCTAGTTACAACACCACTGTATATTAATTTCCCATGATGTGTTGTGAGGAATCTTAGTGTTTTAAGATGCTATGTGAAAAAAGTTCTTTATAGTCAAAAACATGAGAGAGACTTCTATTGCACAGTGTATCCCAACAAGCTTAGAGCTAATCAGGGACTCTGAGAAGTCTCAGTGGAGGAAATGTGACTGAGGCAGCAATTCTGAAGCCTATTTGACTTTAGAACCCTCCTTTCGTTGATCACTTGTTAACATCCCTTGTAAAATACAGCACAAAATATATCATAGATACATGGACAGATAAAAGTCACCCAGCAAAAATTTACTAGTTAAATGATGGAAAAATTAATCTTTTCTATTAAATTCTACCTTGTACCTTCTATTCTACTATACTTCTTGATTTTCACGTTTAGTTATTAAGACTGTATCGTCAGATCATTTCCTCTTTCTCTTTTACACTTCAGGATCACAAGCTCAAATCTGGCATAAAAAAGACCGCCAACACACTGGCCCCTTTGGTGTGTGCTCAGCCCAGGGGCCCGAAGGTCCCTTTCTCATGGACACCCAGGAAGAGGGCAGGACTCCTGACACCTGTCCATCCCACACCTGCTGCACGCTGGGCTTCACCAAGAGACTTGGAGGAAGAATTGCTGAAAATCACTGCACCATGTGTCGCCATGGCTGCCCTACCCTCCGGTCACGCCAACACTGCAAGAGAGAGCTGTGCTGAGTTCAGGAAGGCTCAGGGGTTCTGGGCCGGGTACAGCCAGCTGCTCTGTGCCCAGGGACAACTGTCTGCCACCGCAGAGAAGGCCCCACTGCTGCACGGCACATGACCCCAGAGAAAGTCCACACCTGCTTTTCCATTTATTGCGGTATCACCAGAACCACATATGGTCTTGACTCGTTGAGGCTGGATGTGGGAACCTGGCCCCCCTGGAGTGTGAACTCCTCTAGGCTCTGCATCTGTAGCTTTCCTTCCCCCAAAGGCTTCTTTCTCAGAGAGAACCAGTCGCATGCAACAGACAGCTGGGCCCATGCAACAGATTCCATAAATTAAGCCACGCTTTCGAGAGTGGAGTCATCTGAAGTCTCATTCTGCCTCAGAATGTGAAAAAATTAAAATCCAACATCATAGCTGACCAGAGCCTCAGAGATTTGTAAGGGAAGATATACATAAAATTTCACAGATACAAAATTGAGACCCTGGTAAGTAACTCATCTAAATCAAGTCTAATTTTTTGACTGGCATCCCCAGATGAAAACCAGATCCTTAAAGACTGGACAATTTTCTCTCCACTTACTCTCTTGGATTGTTCTTGCTATTTGAAGTTGTTAGGGAATAAACTTCACAAGGTAAATTTCTTGGTATGCACAGAGGTGGATCCTTTCAGTGTCATTACTACAGCTTGTTTTTGGTTTAGTCCCCTTCTAATTTTTCTAATATAAAAACACCAACAAGGACAGCATCTGCTCTCTTAAGGCCAACAGAGACCTCCAGATGCCAAGGAGGGCAGCAGAGGCGGCAATATGCCTTCAGCCTCTCCAATGCCAGGCCTTCTTCAAAGCCAGGAAGGTTCTAGCCCACTTGTGTGGTGGTGGGTTGGGCTTTGCCTGTGGGGTGGAAGGAGGGTGTTGTTTGCCAACTATTAACTTGGAAGTCCATCAGGGATTTTTTTCTACCTTATGTAATAATATTATTTAAATATTCTTGTGCACGTTTATAAATGTTAATCTCTTAAATACCGTAACTCAAAGTTTACTCATTGATTATTTAATTTCCCTGATTTTAATTAGTACATATAAATGTATACACCAAATCGGACCTGTTTGCCCAAGGAGGCAAAGGAACTGATCTTCATTTTCCAAGTTTTCTCTCTGCTAGCAAGGTGACACACCCAAGGCATTGAGAAGGGAAGGAACATTAGTACTGTCATTGTTTTAATTCTATTTTTTGAAAAATTTAAAGTTTCTAATAAGCCCATAATTACTTAAAATTTCTTAGTAATATGTTTCAGCTCTTCTGATCTAATTTTAATGATATACGGGGTTATAATTACAGGCAAAATTATATCCTAAACAACATTAAGCAGCTGGCTTTGACCAGCAAAATCAAAGAAATCCAAAATTTAAGAACTGTACACTTATTTTAGGAAAAGAAGAGCAGCTATGGGAATAGGCTTTTGTCTCCTCTTACCCTTTGAGTAGCAATTACTCTCCAGAAATGAGTGCTAAGGCTAAAACAATTTGTGAATGAAAAGCACTCAGTTACTTTAAATTCAGAAGACGATGATCTTATGAGGAAGAAGTCCCTCCCAAACCACTCTGAACCACAGGCCCAGAAGAGTCCTGAGGCCCCGGTGTCAAGTTGTGAGGACAGGGTGGAAAGGCCCCAGAGCATGCGGCTCTGGTCTAGCTCCGGCCTTGCAGCTGGCTGGCCCGGCAGGGCAGGCAAGCACACCAGGCTAGAGTCTGAGAGCACTCTTCCCTTTGTGTGCCCAAAGTCCCTGGGTGCTCCAGGAGGACGCTCCTGGTTGTGTTTCCACCTGTTTGAGACACCAGCTTCTCACTGGATCAGCTGCTTCCCAGAGCCAGGAGACCACAGGGCACGTGACACGGGCACTTTCTCCTCTATTACATGTGGCAAAATATACTGACTTCCTAAAAAGCATTTTCAAACCCACTGAGCTCAGGGCAAGCGAAGGACCTCCTGCAAGCCTCCACTCTGCGCCTTCAGGGTGGCCACCGTGGCACTCTGGTGACACGATTCCTCACACAGGAACTGCGGGCGCTCTGGATGCCCTTCCTCCTCACACCCCACATCCACCCGCATCTCGCCAGCTCTCGAGTCCAACCGAGGACCTGCTGCGGCCGGCCAAGCCTGGCTGCCCCTCTTGCATGGGCTGCTGAGCAGCCCCAGCCGGTCTCCCTGCCCCTACCCTCACCCCGAGGCCTCCTCTCCTCACAGAGTGATTCTAAAGCCAAGTCTGATGCTGGCCCTCCACTCCAACCCTCTGTGACTCCCATTTCCTTTAAGGTAAAACCCAAGAGGGGGCCGCAGCCTCTGAGCCCTGGCCGCCCCTCGCTAGACTCTCTCCTCACCACACCGGCCTCCCTCCTATGGCCTGTACCCAGCAAGCACATACCCCCCTGAGGGTCTTTGCATGTGCATTTCCCGTTGCCCAGGTTCACATTAGAAGAGGGTCTTACATGTTTATCAAAAGAGGCCAGGGGCATGAGGGTTTCAGAAGCTTCAAAGCACTGGCACCAAGGATGTGGACACTGAAGGACAGGACTCAGGAATGGAGGAGACAGCAGTGAGGCAGGGCTGCTGGGGAAGAGCCTGGGTGAGGAAGAGGAAGGGAGACATGGCAGTCCGACGACACACTACAAGTGGGAGTGCAAGGAAACCCTTGGAATCAGAGCAGTGGGAAGGTGGCAGGATAGCACATGCTATTTGCTTGGGGGTCCCCAGTTTTCCAAAGAGAGACGAATTTCTCGTTATTTACCAGAAACCAGAACGGACAGCATAGGAGCCCTCAAGAGCAGAGTGGTTGGTTTTAATGGATCAGAAGTATTCTGACTTTCAGGCAGCTTCACACGAGGAGAGTCAGAGATGGAATCAGCTGTTACAAAAACGGCACGGACTGCCCAGCAAAGACTCTGTGGCAACTGGCATTCTTTATGGCAAAATATATCCCATGTTACAGTTACAGTCCTGTGCACTTGGTACATTATGCCATTGCATCTCTTAGCTGGCTTTAAAAAGACTATTCACTACCTCTATTCTGAAGTAAAAATTCAACAGAGTATAGGCCAAGCAGCAAAAGAACAGGTACTTACACACTAGAAAGAGATAATTTTTTAAAAATCTGGAAACAGAGACATACAACTTACTTGTGAGATCCAATCCCAGAAGGAAGCACCTTAATTCTATTGTACCGGAGGTCTAGCCAAGTAAGGTTTGGCAGTAACTGAAAGAAATCTTTCGGAATCGTGCAGAGGGCATTCCTTTGCAGATGCAATTGCTTTCACAGAAAAAAGAGAATCAGAGAATGTTTTGTCAATCAACTAAATTTTAAAACGATACATCAAAAAGCATTTCCAAAAGAACTAACAATCACAACCACATATATATCAATTTTTTTAAAAAACCCATAATATTTTACCCTTGGAGAATTTAAACAGATAAGACAATCAGAAAGAAAAGAGCCAGGACTCCATCTGGTGGTTCTCAGAGCTGGGAGTGACTTCCTGAACAGTTCACACAGATGACTGAACACGTTACTTTTTCTATCAAATATCCCTCGACAGCAAACTTAATCCCTAGGCCTCCCTGGTCTGGGCTCTTTCCCCATTACCCACTGCAGCACCTGGCACTCAGCGCCCCAGTAACTGCTGGCTCACTGAGTGAACAGGAAGAGCCCAGTCTGGTCCCAGGGAGGCATCCCTAAGTCAATAATTAAGAGAGCACCAGAAGACAGAAATGTTTGCTATAGTGTTATCTATGATCAACAGGCACACAAAAATAATCTCGGTAGCCATAATTTCAGGAACAGTTTGATACATCGACTAAGTGATATTTCTTTTTTTTTTAATTAAAATTATGTTTTTCTTTTTATTAAAGTAAGATATGACATACAATTTATTTTCATTATTTTTGACTGTACAATCAGTGACATCAAGTAAATTTACAAAATTGTGAAAGCATCGCAATAATCTAACTCCAGAAAATTTTCAATGTTCTAAACAGAAACTGTGTACTCATTAAGCAATAGCATTTCACTCCTCCTTCCCCAGCACCTGGTAACCTCTAATCCACTTTTTGTCTCTGAATTTGTCTATTTTAGGTACTTCATAAAAGTGGAATCACACAGCATCCATCCTTTTGATCTTGGTTTCTTTTACTTAGCATATTTTACGGTTCATTTATGTCATAGCATAGAGCTAAATGCAATCTCTGTATAAGTCTAAATAATATTCCATTGTATATATACACCACATTTTGCATATCCAGTCATCTCTGGCGGGGGTGGGGACATTTAGGTTGTTTCCAGTTGTGGCTACTGTATATAATACTGCTATGGACACTGGTGTTCAAATATCTGTTCAAGTTTTTGCTTCCACTTCTTGGGGATATATACCTAGAAGTGGAATTTCTGAATTCTATGTTGAACTTTTTAAGGAGCTTCCAAACTCTTTTCCACAGTGGCTGCACCTTTTACATTCCACCAGAAGGTTTTTGGTCCTTGTTGAGTTAATTTTTGTATGCATAAAGTAACTTGATTATTCTGCTACCTGACATCCAAGTTTCCGAGCACCATTTGTCGAAGACTACTCTTTCCTCAAGAAATGGTTCTGGCACCATTGCTTAAATCAATTGACAGCATATGTGAGTTTCTTTTAGGGCTTTCTATTCTCCTCCAATGATCTATATGTCTATCTTTATGCCAGTACTGGGTGATATTTCTATGTCACCACCATAGATAAGAAACGATAGAAGATGAAAAATATATACTAACTTTAGCCAAGTAAATGCATATATATATGCATTTACATATATATAAATATATATATATTATATATATATAAAATTTTACAGTCACAACGTGGCAATACTATAATTTTTAAAATGCCTTCATTAGAATCGTCATATCTGTTATATATATAAGATATATTTATATCTATATCCATATTTACCAAGGCAGTAGAAACAGCTGTTCAGAGGCACTGGGTTCAAATCTAGGTTTTGAAACCTTCTAGCTGTGTAACCTTGTGCAAGTTCCTGAACCTCTCTGTGCCCCAGTGTCTTCCTCTGTAAAATGAGGTGACAGGACCTACTTCACAGGGCACACTAGAGTGTGCCATGTAAGTCTCAACTGCTACAATCATATTACTTTTTCTTTTGAAAAACACACTGAGTACAATCAAGTGCCATCCTGGTCCCAACTGCACCTCTGGTTAGGCCCCCAAATCAAAATCATTCACAGCTTCCAACCTGAGAAATCCTGATTAGAAAAATCACATTCTTTATAAAGGAATGGAAAACAGCATCTTGTATCTCTTAGGAAGTTGCCAGCATCACTGCCTGCTGGCAGCTGCCACGGTCTCCAAAACGCAGCCTGGTAATTACAGGTGCAGTGTGTTCCTCCACACACACACACATGTGCACATCCCACGTACATGCATGTGTGCCTCCATGTGTTACCCTTCCCGGCCCTTTGCAGGAGAGGAGGTTGTAAGCTTCTCACGCCTGCTCTCTCCTCTGTGCAAACTAATTCTAGTGCTCAGCTTCAAAACCACAGGTCCTCCTCAATGCCAGTAAAGGGAATAGCAGGAAGATAAGATGCTCTTCCTTCCTTCCCAGTACCTCTAGGCACACGGCACACCTGTGTCTCAGAGCTGGTTGTGGGAAACAGTAAATTGGTTCCATCCTTTCTCTTAGGTCCTGGGGCCCATGTGAAGGCAGGGGCTTTCTGTATTCCATGAGTATGAGTGTCTCTGGAGGTGCTATCTATAAGTCCAGAGACAGCTGCCACCACTGCAAAATGCAAATCAAAACCCCTGAAAGTCTACAACTCAGCAGTTACCTCACTTAAAGATGTTACCATGGTAATAAAATGTATATTGACATCTGTCTTCTGAAAGGTATAAACAGTCATAAAGTTTCTTTTTTTTTTTTAAGTTGGGGTCTCACTCTGTCACTCAGGCTGGAGTGCAAAGGCACAATCACTGCTTATAGCAGCCTTGACCTCAAGGGCTCAGGTGATTCTTCTACCTCAGCCTCCCAAAGTGCTGGGATTACAGACACGTGCCACTACACCCAGCTAATTTTTAAAAATTTTTTTTGTAGAGACGAGGTCTTGCTAGGTTGCCTAGGCTGGTCTCAAACTCCTTGGTTCAAGCAATCCTCCCACCTTGGCCTCCCAAAGTGCTGTGATTATAGGCATGAGCCGCTGTGCCTGGCCATGAAGTTTATTAAGCTTGAAGGACTCCCCCTTCTCCCTTAATGCATAAAGGCAACATAAGCCTCAGGACTCTGCTAGATTCCTTATTCAGAGTTGAGGGCATCTGCTTCATTAGAAGTGACCAGGCATAAGCGGGGCCCTGATGTGGTGGGTACCCTGTGACCAGTGACTGACACTTAGAGGTCAGCATGAAGAGACAAGCAAGACCAGCCCTGGCCCTGACAGCAAAGACAAGGCAAGTGTAGGGCTTAGTTGTGCAGGCAGTCACTGAAAATCTAAGTATGGAGCTTTTATAAAAATGTCCATCGACATAAAATTCTCTGCTCTCACTTTGTACCAGTGTTTCAGACAGTGCTTTACATGTTACCATTTCATTCTTAAAATAAGTCATGAAAACATTATCATCCCCAGATTCCAGATGAAATCAAATGAGGTTTGACAAAATTCTGTGACCCAGGCAGGGACAGGCACTGCGGGGGGAGTCTTCATCTGTCTACCATCAACGCTGTGCTCTCACAGAGCCTTTCTCACAGGGAGAAGACAGCATCCACGAGGGACTGATCTGGAGAAGGGGCCGGCACAAAGCAACATCAGTGTGTGACATTAGCAAAGTTGTAGGCGCGAAAAAGAGTTTTTAACTGCTTTAATACTGCCTGATTTTCTTTAAGTGTTTTGTGTTTTAAATAAGAGACAAGGGCGTGTTTAGCGATTGTTTCTACCATGGGCTTTACGTGCCTGAGACTTTCCTGAGAGAGACACCCACAGAGAACAAGCTCCCTCATCTAAACAGATGCACTATTTCCATCGTTTGGTCGCCATACTGAATTTCCCATTTTGTTGTGACCAGCATGTGAAACAAGAGTTAACCATTCCTCTATTGCCTTCTACAATGTATCACTTCCAGAGAGAAAAAGCCTGCAAATAAAGCCTGGGTACCTACATACAAACATCCTGAGAAGTAGCCCCACTTGCCTGAAGGTTGGGGATTCTGAAGACTTCTCCCAAATGGCACAGACCACTTTGACTCAAGTCCAAAACTGGTGAGGTGGAAAAGAAGATCCCTTCGATGCCCTTGTGAACATCTTTGCACGGGGAAGCAGGCAAGCTCTTGGGTGGACCGGCACCCTCCTCTGGATCAGCAGCCCCAGAGGGAAGAAGGCAGGAGGCACTTCCCTCCATCTGTAATCCTCCGGTGACTGCAGCTCATCCTTCTCCGTCTGGAATCACCTGAAGATACCGGGGGGGGGACATAGAAACAACTAATTACACTGACACACTCACAGGTGAAATGAAGCAGCTATGTGGCAGATCGGCAATGCTTTAACGTATTCAAAAAGCTATCAATTTTAATGAACAGCATCATAATTTTGCCTTTTAAATTTGTAAAAAACTGGAATACAAGAAGGTTCAGATTAAAATTATCTGCTCTCTTTACACCACAGAGTTCCAAGATTTAACCTTTGACTTCTAGAAAACGCAAAAATGCACAATAGGAATAATTATTTTGGGAATGTAAACTGATCAGAACATTTTAAAGTCTATAAACTAACTATAACCCTTCCCTAAACTGGTAGGGGGGGACAGGGATCGTAAAAGTTTGCACTGTTTCTTATCTCTGCTGCGCTTCGTTCTGAACTATATTTTTAGTTCCTTAAGGCCAGGAATCCTGCCATTTGTTTGCCATTGTAGCCCAGTGGCTAAGTCTAACTAGCACCAGGTTAGGCACTAGGAAAAAAACCAAACAAACTGTTATTTTGGAATCTTGAATTTTAGTTGTTCAGCAGTCCTTTTTTTTTTTTTTTTTTTTTGAGTTGGAGTCTCACTCTGTTGCCCAGACTGGAGTGCAGTGGCCGCTCCTGGCCACCGCAGCCTCGACCTGCTAGGCTCCGGAGATCCTTCTGCCTCAGCCTTCCAAGTAGCTGGAACTACAGGTGCGTGCTACCACGCCCGGCTAATTTTTTGATTTATTCTAGAGATGAGGTCTCACCAAATTGCCCAGGCAGGTCTCGAACCCGCGGACTCAGGCAATCCACTCATCTCAGCCTCCCAAGGCGCGGGATTACAGGCTGAGCCACCGAGCCCGGCTAGCAATCCTTTTTCTCAACACGAAATTTAAGAACTGTTGTTAGCCGGGCTCGGTGGCTCAGCCTGTAATCCCGCGCTTTGGGAGGCTGAGGTGAGTGGATTGCCTGAGCCCGCAGGTTCGAGACCCGCCTGGGTAGCGAGACCTCATCTCTACAATAAATCAAAAAATCAGTCGGGCGTGGTAGCGCATGCTTGTAATTCCGGCTACTCGGAAGGCTGAGGCGGAAGGATCGCCGGAGCCCGGCAGGTCGAGGCTGCGGTGGCCGGGAGCGGCCGCTGCCCTCCAGTCTGGGCGACCGAGTGAGACTCCAACTCAAAAAAAAACCCAAAAGCTGTTGTTCACCAAAATCTCATCCAGTGAGGCACTGTTCCACTTGCAATTCCCAAACAAGCTATTCAGCAATCACAGTCAACGCAAGTTCTACACACACCCATTCATTTAACACAAATCTTACTCAACACCCAATGATGGCTATGAGTGTATGTATATTTCACTCCTATTTTAGGGATGAGGAAGGTGGATCAGCTAGGGAGCTGCCCCACGGTCACAGTTAAACTGGGGAGGTAGAGGCTGCACTAGAACCAGGTCTGCAAGATCTGGACGCAGTGTCAGACCCCAGGTAGCCTGCATTCCACGGAGAGCTCCAGGCCTTTGGTAGCCCAGTCATTTCCTCCGACTCGCCGAACGTCAGGGGGAGGAGGGGGGCTTCAGCCTCCTACTGGCCTCTGAACAGGGAAAACGCCCTCAAACCAAGACTGACCCAACAAGCCGGACTCACACGTGAACTGGGCAGTGCGGGCTCCGCAGGGCGGCCGAGGCTGACGGCAAGTGCTCGCCCCCCGCCCTCGCGCACCTGGCCTCGATTTCCCCATCCGGACGAGGCCGAGCTGCCCCGACGACCCTGGGGCCTACACGCCC